TTTTGTTATTATTATTACTTATTTATTACATTTATTTATATACCACCTTTATCTTCCAAGGATCTCAAGGTGGGGGTGCATGGTTCTCCTTCCCAGTTTATCCTCACAACAGCACTGTGAGGTAGGTTAAGCTAACAGATAGTGACTGGCCCAAGGTCACCCAGTGGCTGAGTGGGGATTCAAACCCTGCTCTCTCTCAGGTTCTAGTCCAACATTCTAACCACTACGCCACACTGACTCTTGCAACAAGGGTTTGAAAAAATGTGAAGCTTCCAGCGAGAATGTACCAGCAGCTGTACTCTCCCAGTTGTGCTTCTCCTGGAATACAGATGGGAAACCCCAAACTGGAGAGCGGTCACTGCCCTCATAAACACAGGAGCAGGGCAGTAGAATCAGGAAAGCCCAAGGAAGACAGTAGCACTTTTGCTTGGCATCCAGTTGTGATTGAGAGGAGTAGCCAAACCTAGCTGTGTTTACTGTTCTAAATCGGTAGGCTAGATTTGGTACTGTAGATGGCCTGAGCCAGCCAGGAATGCTCAGCACAGATCTGCTCAGCCACTCGAACGATGTGCTCTTTCGCCTTTTCCATCTGCTTCGTTCTCTCGGTGCTCTTTCTGGTGTGAAGAAAGTCCCCATCTGACACAGAGCCAACCACTTGCTTTCTGGGAGCGGGATGTTGCTTGGAGACATAATTAACTCAACCCAAGAGGCTGATCTTATTTTGTGTTGATATGGAGGGTTAATGATGGTCTCAACACCTGGCAATCCGGCTTGCTAAGAAGCACTAGATACTTTCCATTCTTAACAAACAAAAAATAAAAAAACACAATTGAACAAAACTAGAAATTTGGAGACCCGGGGAAACAGAGTGTTTATATTATTATTATTATTATTATTATTATTATTATTATCTCCTGTCTTTCTGTTGGATAGAAGCACGGCTTAAAATAATATTCCCAACAGACAGCCAAACATCGGATCTCCAGAGAGAGGCTCTTTCCTTGAACTTGCAGAGCATGGAAACTCATTTCTCTGTGTCTCACTTGAAAGCTGTTATGTGTCCTTTCATTGTTATCTAGATTACATCACTCTAAGGTACTGGGGAAGAAGACCTGCTTTTGCTTCAAAAAGACTTAAAGAAGGTCCAGCTGTCAAGAGCAAACTGCATAATAAAAGGAACTAATATGAAACATTTACACTCAAATCTTGCCCCACTAACCCTCTCAGGTGTAGCCCCCAGCCTTACAACAGTAGAACAGATGTTCTCAGCATTGATCGCATTCCTCCAGCCACCTTACAGAGGCCCTTCTTGCTTAAAAAAATATATACCTGTATTTTTTGCTCTATAACACGCACCCGACCATAACACGCATGTAGTTTTTAGAGGAGGAAAACAAGAAAAAAAATATTCTAAACGAAACAGTGGATGTATGATTTTTGTGGTTCATGCTGTGGCCACAGACATGTGATCTGACAGTGAGTTTGGAGTAGCCCAATGCAAAAATCCTGAGGATCCATGTGGATCCGTGCTTTGTAACCACGTTTTAAGTGGGGAGGGAAGGAAAAGCACTCAAGGGACAAGGAGAAGGATGCTGCTAATAATGCAGAAGAGGGGTTTAAGGGGAGAAGAAGCATGCGTGGGGTGGGTGGAGAAGGATGCTGCTAATAATGAAGAAGAGGCATATAAGGGGAGAAGGCTCCTCTCCTCTCCCACTTTGCTCCTTTAAAGCAAGCAGGCTCTGCTTTTCTCCCTCCTCCCCGCTCATCCCCGGCTTAGCGAGCTGAAAAACTTTGCTGCTATTTAGCGAGCTGAGTGGGGAGGAGAGAGGGACAAGAGCCTGCTTGCTTTAAAGGAACCAACCGGACAGGAGCCACTTACACTCGTGTAAGCGGCTCCTCTCCTCTCCCACTTTGCTCCTTTAAAGCAAGCAGGCTCTCTGTCCCTCTTTCCTCCCCACTCAGCGGCTCTTCTCCCGCTTTGCTGTTTCAAAGTGAGACACGGAGGAGGGAAGGAAGGGAAGGGGAACCATGGATCCTCTGCTCACGACTGCAGCAGACCCGCCCCCCGCCACCCGTAGGCATTCCCTCCATAACACGCACAGACATTTCCTCTTACTTTCTAGGAGGAAAAAAGTGAGTGTTATGGTGCAAAAAATACGGTATATAACCAAAGTACAAAATACATTGCAGTAAAAGAGATACCTCCCCGCCCTCTGGTTTCACAATCATTTTTGGATTCACAGTACATATGGAAAAATTAAAAGAAAATGCTAGGCATTTCTGAGTCCAAGAGATGAAATGTACCATCATGTTGTGTGTTGTGATGTTCTCAGGTTTTTGTTATACTTCTGGGCAGATTTATAGTGCTTCAGGGAGGTCCAGCAGCTGCAGTTTCTCAGTAGATGTCCCCATCCTTTACTCTCGCCTCTCAGACTTCCCACACTTTTCTCTGTGGTGAAGCCCCATCTCTTGGACATTCACTCTTTAGAGGTACAGTTGATGCCAACACTCCATTCTTTTCAGTGCCAGCTTAAAACTCATTTATTTGTGTGCTGTGGCTTTTGTTGGTTTCTGTTTAGGTAACTCTAGCCAGCCCTGTGCATGAATTTCCCGACCTCGTTCTGTGGGTGTAGAAATTGGTGTCTTAATTATTTTATTGGGATTGTTTGTGTATTTGCATGACATTATGCTTTTAGGGATGTACTCTACCCTGAGACCATTAGATCAAGGTCAGTCTAAAAATGCTTTAATGAACAAAAATGTCAAATACCATGGTGTGGACCTAATTTCAAAAGCCCCTTACAGGCAAGCCGTCCAGACCTCTGAGAAGAGCTATTTGTCCCTTTCTCAGCAGCCAGATAGGTGTGGGGGGGGGGGGAGATGGCGTGTGAGAAAGTGTATGAGAGAAACAGGGTGGTCCCACCCACTTCTGTGCCACTTACCTGCTGCCCCTTCCACATAGATTAGCCCCAGAGGAATGCAGACGTCCGCAGAAAAAAGGGTGGTCAGAGCCAGGGGTGTTCATTTGAATGACTCAGTTTAAAATACTACAGTGAAAAATATATGGAGACATGCTTTTTTATGTCTGTCTCTCCCCTCCCACAGGAAATCAAGGGTATAAAAGCAGATTTATATTTTGTGTTTTGGAATGTTTCATCCTTTAATATAAATACGAACAGCTCCTTCTAGAGAAATCTGGCTGATAACCCTGAAGATGACAACCATGCCAATGAGAAGGCTGCTTCTTGCATCCTGTTAACATGGAAGATTTATACATCAGGGCTGGCTAGTCTAGAGTCACTCTCAGAAAATGTGCGATATACAAAAATAGAACAAGCAGTTTTGAAGCAGGAGAGAAACTGCGGTTTGTAAATGCATTTCCATTTCAGTCACCTGCAGTTCTATAAGCAGCGCATGGATGGTGCTGAAAACAAATCAGTTTTATTTTATTTGTAACCACATCTTTACTGTTTCACCCATCCAGGATTGAAGATGTGGTAGAAATGCAAGTGCAGGAATTTGACCTGTAGCATCAGGAATTATTTATACCACTGGAACATTGTGAGTTTAAAGGGCATGATTTGCACCCATCTAAGGTACAAAGGTTGGGAGCTCTTTTGAGGGGACAGTACTCACCAGTATAAAGTACCATCACCTCTTTTTGATGCCCATGGTGGCCATTTTGTGCTGTTGCCAAAGCACTTTTATCAAGATAGGAGTACCAACATCTCATTTTTCTTCGAAAAAAAGTACTGGAGATATAATCCAAATGTTTTGGATTCAACTCCCATCTTCTCTGACCATTGGCCATGCTGGCTGGGGCTCATGGGAACTGTAGTCCAAATTTTCTGGTGGGTAACGCATTAGCTGTCTCTGGAGAGAGTCTTTAGTTCATCTCTTCAGATATCCCCAATACTAGAAAATAGCACGGGGTTGTACTGGGCAGAAAAAAAGGCATGGATATAAACATTCTCAGCCTTCTTTCACTTTCCAGGAACAGTGTAAACAGAGTCCCAGAAGCATTTGATTACAGGTCTCTCATCTCCTAGTCATAGGGCATGCACCTCCTGCATTTGTGCATAGAGATCATCCCTCTATACTTAGCAGGGGTTCCCAGTACCCTGAGTATGGTAAAGGGGAGCTTCCCTTCCTGTCTCTGTACAGGCAGCTGGGACCAGGAACATCAGGCACTGGAGAATGATGGAACATTGCAAGCAATTATCTTCTCTTAGTGTGAGATTCCAGTGCCTTTATTGTGTGCATGATCAAGTGGATGAATGCATAAAGAAATGCTTTCAAAATGAATCCTAGACTGGAGGTATGTGTGAGCCCAAAGAGCTTGGCTATGTTGATTTTGCCTCTGTTGTAGGTGATACAGAAATATGTGTGCTTAATGCTCACCTGACTGCCTTCCTCTCATAGAAGGGCAAGGAGCCATAACTAGGTCTGTCAGGTGAACATAATGGATCCCATCAGCATTAATTTTTGTTACTGACTCTTGAGTAGATATCACTGGACAAGGAGGTAGCTGGTTGGCTTGCAGTTGCAGCGAGGAGTGGCAGTGGATTGCAAGCAGCATTCCCATATTTTAAGAAAGACTTCAAATGATGGAAAATGTCTGAAGGGAGAGAGGGAGAAGAATGGGGCAATCTTTCCCATCCTGTGTTGTAGTATGAGTTAAATAATGGAACAGTCATCCAGCTGCTCCATTCAGATTCGAAGAGAATCGTAGCTTCCAGACCAGGTCAACATGCCCCAAGGCCACATTTCATGAGCACCTTTGAGGGGAATGTGCAGTGGCAGCCCAAGGATGGCAAGAAGTGGGTACAGGTTTCTTATTACAACAACTGGAGGACATACTATATGGGTCCTAGGAAAAGATGACACATGAGGCAGGCCTCCTTCTCTCGCCTGCCAAATGAGAGGAGTAGCCTTTAAGTGAGATTTCATGCCTCTGGGGATGCCCATCTGTGACTTCTTCTCTAGCTGGTTAGTTGCCAATGCTAATCAAGGCGCCGGTGCAGCTCTGTGGCAATTCTTCTTTCCCTTCACTGTATAGTAATTTCTCTTTCTGTTCTCTCTTTCCCCCGCCCTGGAAAAGCAACGGCCTGTGAAGCAGTCGCTCAGCAAGTCGCTCTGTAGGGAGTCACACTGGAAGTGCCTGGTGCTCTCCCTCCTCATGTACGGCTGCATGGGAGCCATGACCTGGTGCCATGTGACGAAGGTGACCCGGCTGACCTTTGACAGCGCCTACAAGGGAAAGTCCATGATGTACCATGACAGCCCCTGCTCCAATGGCTACGTCTACATCCCCTTGGCCTTCCTGGTGATGCTCTACGTGGTCTACCTGGTGGAATGCTGGCACTGCTACACCCGCAATGAGCTCCAGTACAAGGTGGACGTGGAGAGCGTTCACGAGCGCGTCCAGAGGATGCAGCAGGCCACCCCCTGCATCTGGTGGAAAGCCATCAGCTACCACTACGTCAGGAGGACTCGCCAAGTCACCCGCTACCGCAACGGGGACGCGTATACCACCACCCAAGTGTACCACGAAAGGGTCAACACCCACGTGGCAGAAGCAGAGTTTGACTACTCCAATTGCGGGGTGAAGGACATCTCGAAGGACCTGATTGATCTGGAGAACTTCCCGGCCACCCGGCTCCGCTTCACCAAGTGCTTCAGCTTTGCCAACGTGGAATCTGAGAACTCCTATCTGACCCAGAGGGCCCGCTTCTTCACAGAGAACGAGGGACTGGATGACTATATGGAGGCAAGGGAAGGCATGCATCTTAAGAATGTGGACTTCAAAGAGTACATGGTGGCCTTCTCAGACCCAGACAACCTACCTTGGTACGTCTCCCACTATGTCTTCTGGGTTGCTGCTCTCTTGACTTTGTCTTGGCCCTTGCGGGTCTTGAATGAGTTCCGCACTTCCTACGTCCATTACCACGTAGAGAAACTCTTTGGGTTTGATTATGTGGCAGTAACACCGGCTGAAGAGCGCCCTTTCTGCCGGAGGATGCCCCGGGTCAACACGGTGGACAGCACCGAGCTGGAGTGGCATATCCGGTCCAACCAGCAGCTGGTGCCCAGCTACTCTGAGGCTGTCCTCATGGACTTGGTGGGACTGTCTAGCTGCACTACCTACTCCTCCTGCCGCTATGGGAGCTACAGACAGAACTGTGAGCAGTGTCACAGGACTATAAGCAGTTCTTCCATCTTCTCCCGCAGCGCCCTCAGCATCTGCAACGGCAGCCCCAGAATCCCCTTCAGCAGCAGCCGCTTCTCACTGAGCCGCCTCTATGGCTCACGGCGCAGCTGCCTTTGGCAGAGCCGGAGTGGGAGCCTGAACGAGCAGAGCTGCCCAACTGAACAGACCCGCCTGTCCAGCCAAGTCACGGTGGAGGAGGAAGACCCTCCTCCTTACCAGGACGCCCTCTACTTCCCCATCCTCATCGTGCACCGAAACGAGGGCTGCCTCAACCACGACCACCGCCATCTCCATCGGAATGGGTCCTGCGTGGAGACCTCGCTGTGAGGGCATGAAAAGTACCTACAGGAGAAGTGCCATGTGCCCAGATAGGGGAGGTGTTCTTTTTTTGGGGGGAGCAGATAAAAAGAGAGGTCCCAACACATCCCATGTGAATCAGAGAGAATGGCTCCCTCTTATCATCCCACAAAGGACTCAACAGCTCCTGAGCTCCGTTCTGGCTCTGTAATGGCTTTGATGTGAGGTGGGCAGCTAACACCACCATCAAAACTACTGCACAGAACCAAACACTGACAGCCACATGCAAAAAACAAAAAAATCTGAAGGGAGGGGCAGTAACAGCCCAAGTATTGGGTGTGTGTGTCTTTCTTCCTAGCCTCTAGCTAACCAGGCCACCTTGACAATATCTGTCTAGTAGGAGCAGTCCCTGCCCCATAATTATGATTATTATTGTGGGGAGGGGACGTCATCCAATCTTTGTAGAGTCACACACTTTGGCAGTTGAATTCATGGCAGTGTAGCATGTTTCCTTCAGAAGCAAGGCAATTAACTGCACTGGTTTCCCAGGCAAAAGGAGCTGAGAAATAACTGAGAAGCAACTACAAGCCAGGCCGCCTTCCTTTTTCTAAACCATGCTCCGACTGTTACGCTGTTCTCAGCTGCTGGGGACGTGAGATCTTAGGATGTCTCCTTGGAAAGCCTTGATGTTTCACGTCTGAGAATCAGCATCCCATAGGTAAAGCTCAAAGCATTCAAAGTACTTACTTCATTGTGGTAGCAGAAAGCAGAAACGAATAGGGAATTTGCAAAGGAAACTCCACACTTTTAATAGAATGCAGTCTTCTTTCCGAACCCAGAAGAAGGGCCAGTACACAAAGGAAAGCAGTTGCATTTGCTAGGCATCTGCTGGTGTTGGGAGAGATGTCATGGGGAGGTGAGGATGAACTGGGAAGCTGGGAGCTCTGAAGTGAATGAAAATGTGTTGTAATGAACGCAGGCAGGGAGGAAGTCTGGTATCAAGGGAGGTTCTGAGAGGTTCAGCTGCAGTTTATCTATTCATACAGGAGAAGGTTGGTGTGTAAGGCAGAGGGGTGGTGTGCTTGTGCAAGGCTGAATTTTACTTAAAGTCAAGCTTGTCTGCTTGATGGTGTTCTCTGGAATGTGAAAGGAGACAGTTATACAGAGCATAAAAGAGAAATTGTGTTTGAGAAAGTGTGTATATGTGAGAGTGAGAGAGATTCTTGAAACCTGCTTTCTTTCTGGTGGAAGAATGAGGCAATAGCAAGAGAAGTAACTTGTTATAATTCATATCCCTTAAGACAGGAGGCTCCAAGGAGTTTTGAGCTCCTTTGTAATGGTAAGACACTTTCGTTACTGAGTGTCCCACCCTCCTAAATTAATGGACAGTATAAGGAACCACTAAATAGTTTTCTGAGGTTCCTGGAACCATCCAAACCCTTGACAATACAAACAACACAATCCTATGCACAGTACCTGGGACTAAGCCTCATTACATTCAATGGGACTTCCTTCTGGGTAGACACATACAGGATTGCAGTGTTAGTCAAAGAACAGAAACATGCAAATGGATCCTTTTGCATTCCAGTGAGATTAAGTCCTGTCTATAGCAGGGCATTAGCAGGCAGATCAATTCCTTCTTCACTGGAGGAGAACAACTGTTCCTTTCATTTTCTACTCTGACATAATTTAGCATAAGAAAGATAGGCACTGATCTCAGAACTCTATCATGCTGAACTTGCTTTTAAAAATAGAGTTTTGCTCACATTCTGGCTTATTTGCATTTTGTGTTACATTACTTCATCTAGCAAATAATGCCTCTGCACTTTTGAGTAATTTTGGTATAATATTGAAACACGTCACCCCAATTTCCACAAGCGGTGCAAGATTCCAGGGGTAGCAGACGTGTTTACTAGGGTCTGTGTTTCCTTTTGGACAAGGAGGTACAGCGGAGACTGTAGTGCCCGTAATATAGGATTAATTTGCACAAAACTTGAGTTTTCCGGAACTGTTATTCAAGCTGGATATTCAGTAAAATAGGAAAGGGTAGTGTGAGAGAAAACTGGCTGTTTTGAACACAGTTGCTTGCAGGGAAGTACACCTGTGTATCAAGCCTGGTGTCAGATGCAGGTCAACATGAAGAAGCAGAGTCAGTTGTCAGTGAAGTTAACTCTTTATTCAAGGAAATGGCATACAACTCAGCAACACTTCCCTGTAGGTCTTGCCCCCATAGAGCAGATGCCAGGACACTGAAGGTCCCTGCATTCTACCCTTTCTAAGACTTCTCCTCTCCCGTATGTTTCCCAAGCAGTCTCAAACTGTGCCTACCTACCTCTGGCCTCTGTTCTTGGAGACCAGCAGGGAGGGGAGCTTGTCACAGCAGGAGAGGGAGATTCCTGGGATTCTTCAGCAGCCTCTTGCCCCCTCTCCTCTGTTTCAGCCTCGGAGTCTGAACTGCTCTGTCATTGGCTCTTCCTGCTCACTAAACCCTGTTGCCCCTTCGGCATCCAGCCCCTCCTTCCAATCGTCTCCCTCTGACCTCTCCACCACCAATCCCCAGGCTCTGAGCCATCCTCCTCTGGAACTTCCCTTGGGGGTTCCTTGGCGGGTGCCTCCCACTACGCCTCATCATCCAGCCAGTCCTTGACACTGTGATGGCGTTTAGGGTCAGGATGCTAAAATACATGAATGTGGGATCTGAGGCTCAGCATGAAGATAACCTGTATGGAAGTCTACTGTTTGCATAAAGCAGCAGTTGTTATGTCTCTTGTGTGACCGTAAACATTATTTTTGAAGAGTGTAGCATCTGGAATGGCCGGCCTTGCATTCATTCCACTTTAGAGTATTGTCTGATCTCCAGGTTATTTACGCCTGAGATGACAATTTATTTGGCAACAGGTTTGATGGCCTGATCTGCTCTTATAGTGACAGCCTGTTCCCTCATATGTAACCTGAGTTCTCTCAGCTGCGTCTTAATCTCATTATTTCTCATTCATTGACCAAATAGCACAATTGACCCTGCTCCTCTGTTCGGCTTCTGGGTCTGGCAGTGCATAACTTTTCCTTGTCTTTCCAGACTTTCCCCCCCACCATACTGTGTTGGACCATCCTGATCTAGAGGGTTACCAGCATTGGGAAGCTATTTAGGGGTCAGCAAACTTTTTCAGCAGAAGGCCAGTCCACTGTCCCTCAGACCTTTTGCTGGGCTGGACTATATTTTGAAAAAAAAAAGGAACAAATTCCTATGCCCCACGAATAACCCAGAGATGCATTTTAAATAAAAGCACATATTCTACTCATGTAAAAACACCAGGCAGGCCCCACAAATAACTGTCGGGTAGCCGATGTGGTGCTCTCCTGATGTGGTTGGACTACAACTCCCATCTGCCCAATTCCGCATGACCAGCGGTGAGGGATGATGGAAGTTGTAGTCCAGCAACATCTAGTGGACATTTTGTTGACTGCCCCTCAGTGTAGTTGTCACAAGCACCACCCACCAATCTGGAAAAAAATGGACATTCAGAAGTTTGAATGTAGTCTTAGTTTTGTTGTTTAAAGAGGTGTGCGTGCATGCACGTGTAAGAGAGAAGTATATTCTTTTAATTATTTGTTTTTCCTGTGCTGACTGCCTTGAATAATTTGTTGTTAGGGCACTGAATTATCTATTGAAATTGTACAACTTGTGAGACAATAACCTCCACTATTGCCACAAAAATGTGGCTTTTTCACAATGATGCAACTTTTTCAGTGTTCTTCACCTGATATCTTCGCAGCACCTGCTACTGCGTTGCTTCATGTTGTAGATCTTTGAAAAGCTTGCAGGACTGTCCTGAGTTCATGTTACCATGCCTAGTCCTAAATGCTGGTGAAGAATGCATATTTGCTCATTTTTCACTTGTGTTGAAAGTGATCTTTCATTGCAAGAAAGAAATGTGCTGCTAACATGGTTTTGTGACACAAAGAAAAACCCCTGTGAAACCAGGCCAGTTTTGTAATACTTTATTACAAAGGCACATACTATAGTATAAAAAGTGCAGAATAGTGCCATGCAGCAAGCTTTTAATTGGTTACCATGTGTTTCCTGATGGTCTGTATCCTCTCCTGTAGCCTGATCCTATGTATGCTTACTCAGAAGTAAGTACCACTGTGTTCAGTGGTGCCTACTCACAAGTAAGTGGACTTAGGGTTGCACCATTATTTATTTGTTTATTTCATAAAGTTTATATACTGCTTGATTGTAGGGGGGGAGGACTTCCCAAGTGGTTTACAGAAAAGAATAGTTGCAAAAAGCAATAATATACATTGGAGATGCAATAATCTAATTCATCATTCTGTTCTGTTTTTCCTTCTCCCACAATGGAGTCTGTGACCACACTATATGAAGAAAGGAGGTGTGCTGTGCCCATGAATTTAATCTTCCCAGTGCCATCAGAAAGAATACAGTTCTGAAGGTTTGAGCCATCTCTTAAAGATAGGTCTTCCTAGCCAAGATGTGGCTTTGCCACAATCCAAGATCTGAAACAAGTCGCTGTTTCTCATAGCTTTCTCTTCTCTTCCTCTGCTCACATTGCCTGTGGAGTTGCATCATTAAGGAGTCCCGCAGGAGGGAGGGGGGAGAATCTGCAATCAGTAACAGTTTCTTCTGACTAAATAAGATTTAGCCACCTATACAACATTTCCAGGAACTGCTGAGGATCTGTGATCCCATGTTGCTTTTCGGTGGGTGCCACTTTTATCAAGCACATTTCTGTTGTAAGCACAACTTTCACATTTTTGCTTTGCCTGAAAAAGTTTTTTTTTTAATGTCCACCCTAAGCATACGAGTAGAAATGCTCTTTCTGAATCAAATCTTTCTGAATCAAATCACACATTCTTGGGACTCTGGTAATTTTGTGGATCACCCACTGTGATTTTATTTTTGTATACTGGTTTGTAAAATGAAGGGAAGGGGGAGGGAACCTACACGTACACTTGGAAAGTCATTTTTCATCAGTGCAAGATGTTTCTACCACAGTCATAGCTGCTCACTTAAGGGGGGGTGGAGAATATAGGTGGAATGTGTCTAGATGATTTAGTATCCATATCACTTACACGATTCAAATAATCCCTAGCGGCACTGTCAGCTGATGGCTAATGAGGCCTGATGTTGGACAGCATCCCATTAATCAATCAAGGTAAAAAATGCTTATTTATTTATTTTAAAAAGCTGGCCTAGACGCACAAATGAGTCTCCAGAGGCAAGAGAAGCATATTCATAGGACCAGGTGATAAAAGGTGCATTCTGTCCCCTTTCAAAATAATACGAGATGATTTAGTGTTTTGCTTTTCTCTCTTGCTAAGCAACAATATTTCCCTGGTGCTGTGGGGGGAAAATGCACAATGAGGTGCATGTGAATTATATAAAAGCTTTTCCACATCAGCCTTTCATGGTTCCACAACAAAAAGAATTAGGCAGATTGAAAAAGCTGCAACAAAACCCTCATAAAATATTTTAAGTTTAATGGAAAACGGTATTTGGAATGTTTTGTCCAGCTCCACTGAATTTGCAAGGTGTCAACAAAGCATAGCAATTTAAATTTGTTGTCTTGGAGGCATTTCATATGGATGTTGCAATGCAAAGTAGACATGCATGGCTGACATTTATTTTAGGAATTTGCAGAGGATAGAATGTCCTCAGACACACTGGATTAAAAAAACAAAACATCTTCTGCCTTGGTGCGAGTTCTGAGCCACCTATTTCTTTTACTGCATCTATTCGTTCCTGTGAACGGAAATGCTGCCTGTTGTTTTTGCTAAAGGTGCTGTGAGATCATTACGGTTTGCACAAACAGAGGACGTTCTGCTGTTTTACATTCGCCACAAACTGGGACAGTGCCATAACCGTGAAGATAAAATATGTTTTATACGTTAGAGATCTGTAATGCTCTGGAGTCTAAAATGGTAGAATAGTGTTTAACCTTCGCCAGAATCCAATACCAAAGCTTCCTTGCCGGATAAAATAACATGCTCACTTATAGAAATTCAGTTTCTGGGTCACAATTCTAGAACAGCAACACAAATCATCAACCTGGTAGTAGAGGTCCAAACTAAAGAACTAGCTGCTACTCTGGTTTATTTGTTCTGATAATAGGACTTGGGTTTGTTTGTGCATTTGATGCAGGCTGCGCACAGTTCTGATCATAACTACTCTTTCTGATTTAAGTTGCCATCTCTATTGATTTCGTGTTTTATATCTCCATTACAGTGGTACCTTGGGTTAAGTACTTTATTCATTCCGGAGGTCCGTTCTTAACCTTAAACTGTTCTTAAACTGAAGCACCATTTTAGCTAATGGGGCCTCCTGCTGCCACCATGCCACCGGAGCACGATTTCTGTTCTTATCCTGAAGCAAAGTTCTTAACCTGAAGCACTATTTCTGGGTTAGCAAAAGCCCAAGGTAGCAAAATTCAGCATACCCAATTTTGTCCTCACAACAACCCTGTGAGGAGAGGGGGTTCCCACAGCTGAATGCAAAAATCTTTCTCTCTCAAAGAAATAACTCCTTTTCTTCCACATCACCTTAATGGCATTTCATTCATTTTCTAATTCATTTAAATGCCGAAGCAGCTTCTCCTCACTTAAACTTGTTGCCATGGAAATGACTGGCAGGTCTTTGCTGTCTGTAGGTGAACAGACAAACATAACAGGACACTTGTCTTCCTCGCCTCCCTATGACTGCTATCCTGTGTTACCTCCCTCCCTAGCAGGCAAGGCGTACAGAAAGGTGGGTCAATGCACACATATTTCAGCAGCAAAAATGTGTCACACACAAGCACACACACATACACACACACACACACACACACACACACACACAGAGACAGACAGACAGACAGAGAGAGAGAGAGAGAGAGAGAGAGAGGTTGCAAGAAGCACCAGGACAGAATTGGAGGCCTCCCTTTATAATAAACAGAGTAGAGCAGCTGAGAGGAATAATAATTATGTGCAGAGCTTCTTAATGAAACCTCTCAGGCAAACTAACAGGTAGGATTGGATTAAAGTTGCTTAATGCGCCTGGACTGGTGCTCATACAATATTTTATCCCTTGGTCACTGTATCTTAAACTACCTGTTGTTACTAGGAATATACCAGCTGTTAAATAATATGGGGACAAGAAAATGAGCCTAACATACAACTAGTATACAATTGGGAAATGGCCATAAAAATGTAATGCATCCAGAAACCCATTTAACATCACTAACTTTGCACCTCCCAAATCAGTGTCATTGCACTTAGAGGTAAAGCTAAGAGATGGAGCCATTGCGTGGGAAATGGCCCTTCTGTCATATGCATTCAGTTCAGAAAAGCAGAAGCTGAGTTTGCAATTTTATATGGAAACTACGTACATTTCAGACCACCTGAGTCATATGAAGACTTGCATTTTCTGCCCCATCTTCAGAGTTCAAAAGTCTGAAAAGGCTAACAAACAACTTTGTTAAGCTACACCTTGGAGAGGAAGGATGGCAGGTTGATAGCTCACCCTACCTTTGTTGCTTTGCTATACAGCACAGGTGGGCAATCACCTGAAGCCCCTAAACCTTACTTTCTGTTGCTTCCAGTACTTCTTGAAGCTGCCCTGTTCTGATTTGGAGTATCTTTCTCCCTATTTTTGTGTAGTTGCAGAACAATTCGAAGGAGTCATATCTGATAAAAATTGAAGTTGGCAGTTTTTGTTTCACTTTTTCATGGCTTGAGGAAAAGAATCCACCCTGGCTGCCTGAGAAATTGATTTCTGCCACGTGTGTGCAGTACACTAGAATCAGAAAGGAATTACTCTTGTCCTCCAGAACAGCTGTTGGGTGTTCTGGGTTAAAAAATAAATAAATCCTCCACATACTTATTTGAAAATAACCCCGTCAGCCCCAAAGGAACACAGGGAATTTAGTCCGATGTAGCTGTGATGAAAATTGAAGCAGAAGAGTCTTTATTCTGGATTGGTTTATCCAGAACTCTTTTGTCTCTGGTTCCCCCAGTACTAGCGTGTGACTCCAACAGATTACCTCCAAGGAGATGCTGTCTCCAACAATAAGATGACCCAGCCCTGTTGTACCCCATAAAATCAGTCTTGGCCAACTGGTGCCCTCCAGATGTTTTGAACTACAACTCCCACCAACTCCAGCCAGCACTGCGTGCTAGCTGTGACTAGTGGGAGTTGTAGTCCAAAACATCAGGTGAGCACCTGGTTGGCAAAGTCTGCCATGAACCATACATAGAGAAAAGCTAAGTATTGGGAAGAAAAGGAAGAATACCCATTCTAGTTAGCAGCTGACAATTAACTCTGACTTGTAACGATCACCTGGCTAGTTGGCCTATGTTTTCAGCATTTCTTGAGACTCACAACATCTCTTGGGATCAGAAAAGCTTCCCCAAGCCGGGGGGAGGGGGGGAATATGCATGTGTCAGCCATTTTGTTTTTCTCTGTTTGTTATAGAGCAGCCATTTATAGATAATGCTGAATAAGCTGGGAACAACTCGTAGGGCAGCAGCTTACAGATGTTACAATACTGGCCTGTGACACCCCATCAGTGTTGAGCTAGAGATTCACCAGAGCATAAAGCTTAAGAATGTTTTGGAGGTGTTTTAAGGTTTGTATGTTTCAGTTGGCTCTCAGGAGTTAGCACAAAGATGAGAGCCTTTAGCAGTATTTACTGGATGTCATATTGAATTATATTGTGGGTTTTAAAAATTCTCTTTTAAAATTCTGTATGCTTTTAAATTGGTACTCAACCTGAGCCTTCAATGCTATAAATCTAAAGTATTCACAGCAGCACTGTAAAGTAGTTTTTTATTATTCCCATTTTTCAGATAGAGAAGCTTGGGCAGATAATTATTTCATTTATGTCTGCTAATGACTCTGTAGCTGAATAGCCTGAGAAGTCACAGGACAAGTTTGTTGGAGGGAATTTAGGGAATTCTTTTGGTTAGTTATGTTTAAGCACCCATATGGAGCACTAACCCATTCGGCCATGTGACCTTATCTAGCTCAGATCATCACCAGGACAATTCAACACGCACTGCTTTTATTTGACATTTGTTGCACATTTTAGAGCAGGCACCCCAAACTCAGCCCTCCAGATGCTTTGGGACTACAATTCCCATCATCCCTGACTACTGGTCCTGTTAGCTAGGGATCATGGGAGTTGCAGTCCCAAATCATCTGGAGGGCCGAGTTTGGGGGTGCCCGTTTTAGAGTCACAATTAAGAGTCAATTTTACTTTATCTTCTCTGCACTCTGTGGAGGCAGGCTGCTTTGCAAACATCATACACATTCATTCTCAGATTAAAAACAACCCCAAAGAAACTGATCTCCAATAGATTGCAAGAAGCTGTGCTTACCATGATTGACTGATTTGGGATCTTGGGCCTTTTCCTGAGTGACTAAAAAGATCTCTTAATTCAAGTGTGCAATTTAAGTAATAAATTATTTTGTAACTTCAACAAGCCAGCCTGCCTCAGGTCAAGAACTAGGTGGTCAGTGGCAAATATCTGATGTTCTAGGTATGTCTCAGGGGGATATTTTATAGTTGCTGCCATGGGCATATTTCTCATGCTGCTGCAACTCCCTGTGGTTTAAACCACTGGAGCAATCCACTCATGGATTAGGAAGGGGGGAAACAAGCTTGTAAAGACTATGGGGTGGTGTTGTTGACACCTCTAACACAGCTGCTGCTGCTGCCACCCAAGATAACCTCACACAAGTATCCTTTCTGATCTATTACGGCCAAAACATCAAGCAGCTAAAGCCCCTTTGGCCGAGGGGCACTGCAGGCAGCAGAGCCATGGATGGTGGACGTTTGTATCCATTGCCCACAATGAGCAACAGTGGAGATAAATCCAGTTCTGACAAAACTTTTCTGTGAGCACTGAGAACAGTTTTTACTTTTCAATATGTCCATACGATCTAGTTCTGTTTGTCTCTCTCTATGTAAAACGGTATATCACAATGTTGCCTTTTTGTTGGAAATATCAAAAGTACAAAGATTGTAAACCAAATCGGTGTAATAAAAGTTCCAGATGATTCACGATGTCCGATGTGTGCCTGGCTGACTTTCTTCATAGAGTTTGTAGAGACCCATCAAAAGAGAAGCCACTGTCTTCTGAAAGCCCACCCACCACGTTCCGGTTACATATACTTAATCCTCTGCAGGGTTGATCTTGGGGGAGTTGATTGTGGACTGCATTGTGCAGCATGGATTAGCTAATACTGGTGACATCACACCCACCCTCTCCCTCCCCAGAACAGTTTAATTTTAAATGTAAGCAGTTTTTTTAAACAAGGCAAGGTTGAATACTTGGGAGAATTTTAGAAAAGGAAGGCATCGAACACATTCCAGTGACATCAGTGAAAAGGCCCACCTATGTGCCAGCAAAAACCCACTAATAATTAGGTCATGACAAGATTAATTAGGCTGTATTTGTTGGTTGATCTTAATGTGCTCACCAGCAATGGTGGGGAAGTTGGTCTTTCAGGTAACCTGGCCCAGAGTTTAGGGTTTTATAAGTAAATAATGATCTTAAAACTTCTTCATGTTAAGCCATGTTTTGGATTAGTGTTGCATGTGAATAAGTGATAGTTCAGTTCTTCATATACAGAACAATTAAAAATTGACACCGTTGTCATTATGACTGGGCTTCTGGGTTAGTTAACAGGGCAAGGAGATTTCAAAGGCAACTTTTGCAAGCTTAGCATTACCTAGTAAGTGTGTTTAGAAAGTCACACAGGCCAATGGAACATACACAGGATTGTGCTTAATGTCTTGAATTTTTGCTATCCAAACAGCATTTCTGAGTTTATGAACAGCAACTGTGTTATGTAAAGCAACCCTAAAGAAGTGAGGAAAGACAAGATGTGTAGCAAGGAAAACCATTCTGATGGCAATTGTTACTTGTTACTAGGGAAATACTGAGACATAGCAAGAACCTCAGATTATATAAGCAATAAAGCACCTAGTGGAATTTTAAGTGACTTCACTGCTGTGTGCTAACCTGGGGCAATAGCTAGAGAAAGCCTTTCTGATCCTGTCTTCAGAGAGAAGCTTGAAAAAGCAGGAGACTTTGGAGGTCAGATCAGGGATGTACCCTTTGATGCTAAAAATGAGAGTCTTCCCATTGCACATCACTGTGACTTTGGAGGGTGTTGCCTGCCCTCCCCCTAGCAATCATCACTTGACCCTATTACTGAGAATCTCCTCAGGAGAAGGAAAATAAGATAACAACTGCAAGAGACATAACTGGGTCTTAGAAAGTTTGGATGGCTAAATCCAAAAGCAAATTGCACCCAGGAAGCCATTTAAGTCACAGCAGATTCTGTCACTGGCCTCACATCAACCCACACTTTAGCAACAGCTAGCAACAGTAAGGCAGATTTACAGTCACAAGATTTAGATGAGTTGCCCATTGGCTTAGGATGATGTGTTAACAAGTCACAAATATTTATACTACGTAATTGAACAGATGGAAAAAATACTCTGCCCTTCCCCAGCATCTAAACTGGAACAAAACTCCAGAGGAACAATTACCAGTACACCTTGAGCATGGCTGTTTTATGATCTATCCACAACGCGCACACACCCTTTTGAAGTTTAGAAGTAGAATTAATAGGTTTGCGTTCCTAATATACTCCTTGACCAAAGGGGGAGGGGGACACTGATAATGTAGGCTGGTGTGTGCCCTGGGGTATAAACCAGAGGTTTGCAGGATGTGAACCTGCAACAAGTTTTGGGGCTTCTGTCAGGATTCAGCACCATCAGTTGCAGGGTCAAATGGACAGCTCCCTGCTTTCCCATGTTAATACCACGGGCTTGGCCAGGCTGAGAGCACCACTAGACAGTGATGGCAGCAGAAGGCTGAACCTTAGTCATTTTTGGTCTGCTTGCTGTTTCTGCTATTGAGAGGACTTTTGCTTTGGGATCACAAGGGGGAAAGAGGGTTGGTGGGGTGGCAAAGAGAGAGGAAAGGTTTCATTCAAAGATATACAAAAAAATCAGTGAATTATTAAACAAGAATCTTGTACCTGAAGGATTTTGTTAGATCTAGCTCACTTTCAACATACTCTGCCTTGCTTAACCTGTTTTTACAGTATCGTTCAGTTCCCAGAATGGCCTGTCAAAAATGATTTTAAAGATTTAATCAATGATTAATAATCACCATAATCTAGCTCCATCAGGGTGTACTTTACAGAGTAGAAGAAGTCCCTGCCTTTAGCAGTTTCCGATCTAAAATCTGACAAAGAGGAACAACAGAGCAAGGGGAGGAAGGGGTAAACAGGGAAGCCACATGCTTTTTGTTGCCCCTGCTAGGGGTAGGCCCAGGCTCAGGTGCAATATGACATGGGATCAAGGGACTTGTGCCACAGGCTTCATGGGAAGGTGAAGAGAAAGGCAGGAGGAAAGGAAGCTACGGCCAGCCAAGATCAAACACAGCTAAGAAGGAACTTCTGAGCACAATGCTTAGCAGAAATAAAATAGGCATTTAATCTAGCATGGTGAAGACAAAAACACAGGAAATGTTAGCCTTGTTCGGGGTGTTTTTCTTCAACCGTATGTGGGACAGGTGCAGAGGGCGGGTGCTGCAGGCTTTTGAATCGGGCTAGTTCCTGGTTGGTCTTTATGGCCTGGTTAATGAGGTATTCACTCTCTTGGCCCACCTCTGCCAGCCTCAGGTCAAATTCTACCACTGTCTTGTTATCAGTCATGCCTTCCAGCAGCTGCTTCCCTCCATCCTGGAATCAATAAAAAGACTAGGCTGAAGGTCAAAAACACACATGCACACAAGCAACCCTCGGGTTTAAACCACATTGACCCAAAGCACCTTGGCTGGTTTGCAACTAAGACCTAAAAATGCCTCGAGGAAGGGGCAAACATGCTTCCTGACATGCTATTTTTTATTTACAAAAAGAAAAGACAATGAAATCTCATGGCGCCCTTAGACAAACAAAGTTATTATAGCATAAGTTTTCATGGGCTGAAGCCTACTTCATCAAACGTGTAGAGTGAACTCTTAGTTGACAGGTATATAAAGGTATATTCAGAGGATGTCACTACTGTGATTATAATGCAGTAGTGGTCGATTAACACTGGGCATCCACACATCATTCAACTTCAGTAGTTCTTCTGAAATGCTTCCCCAATATTATCACCTTATCACCATCCAGAGCGGCAAAAACCCCACCTGAACATTTGTGGTAGGAAAAGTTATCAGATTTTAGCAGGAAGCTATGGGATGCTTTTTGCTTATGTTTCAATTTCATTGTTCTGCATGGGACAATGACAATAAAGATATATTGTATCGTAAATAAGCAGGGGAAATATTTTTCTTCCCCCCCTCAAGAATGCCCATGGATATGATATGTACCTTGATAACTATTGTGACCTATAAGCTGTATGACCTATAAACTGGGTGTAAATGTTCATACCAGAGTTCTTGTTTTTGATGGAATTGCTTCCTTGGGGTTGTTGTTTTATTGTTTAAAATTTTAATAAAATTTCCATGGAGGGGGTAGGAAAGAGTCCATCTTTTGAGCACTGAGTTACTGGAGCAGTCCCTACTCTAAAATAGGGAATGCTTGTAGAAATATATTTTTAAAAAATAAAAAAAATTGTCCAGTAGCACCTTAGAGACCAACTAAGTTTGTTCTTGGTATGAGCTTTCGTGTGCACGTACACTTCTTCAGATAGAGAGTGCTTGTGCAATTAAACTAGAACTTGCAGTTTGACACACACAGAGACACACACACACACACACACAGATAGAGATTGGTGTTTCCAACATGCTCCTTCAATAACTACCAGTCTGAGTTCATCATGCATAGGCAGGAGAAAGAGATGGCTGGCAGGAGGACAAACAGGGACAATGACCCTGGGGATAGCAGGAGCTTATGCATGGGAACAGATCACAGTGTGTGTGTGTTAGAAGAGTTCAAGCATAAGGACGGGGATGAGTTCCTTGTGTGGAGGTTGCCTCTGAAATCCTGCTGTGCTGAGATTCCGAGGTGCTTATAATGCTTAGAGTGTGTTGCACCCTCCTTCCCAGTTCCAGGCACTTGTCCCTTTAGCCCGAAACTGTGCCTCTTGGAGTAGAGAGGGATGCTCACCAAAGCAAGCAGATTTGTCAACCTCTCCTGCCACCTATTCATCAAGCTACTGCTGCTTATTGCCAAATGCTCACAGAATGGATGGTGTGTCACGCTCCCCGTTATGAAAGTGTCATTATAACAGTGACATCTTCCTACCTCCTCATTACCATGTCAAGAGATGATAAAGTGTTTGCTTAGGCAATTCGGTAAGATTTTGGCATCCTGGGGGAAAGAGACAAGAAGTCATTAACTCCCTCAACCTCTGAGGCATCTAAAAAAGCATGTGACAGATCCAGAGGGAACAGTATTGGCATGACAGGAACTAAAAGCAGGTGATAGCATCGTGATACATGCACCAGCCAGATCTTAAAAGCATGTGATGAAAAGTAGAGATTTCTGAGCTGTGACATGGGCTTACATGTCTCTGGAGTGGCGTTCTGTTCCGTATCTTATTGCTTCTCAACCCCTTCTGCCCTGCCCTGTCCCAGTCTGGATTTTAAGAAAAAGTCATCACTCAATTAGATGAAGGACCCTACACTTGCAGACACCCAGAATTTAGAATAATTTCTGGGGAAATCAATCACACCATCTTCAGAAATCGGAATATTGCCATTTTGTTTAAGCCCATTAGCTACCTGGAATCTGGTGGCCATGTTACTGCAGAAGATTGGAAAAGATACAGCAAACCAAGCAAAATCTGCCAATGAACATGCAAAAGCTGCTGGAGTTTTCAGAGCTTTTGCTTCCATTGGATCACAACTCTGAATATTAAGAGTTTGCACACTTTTATCCACATGAACTGATCCAGTATAATATTTTGCTGCGTGAAAGATGGGACAAGAAAATCTAAAGCATGCTTGGATAAACATAAACAAGCAACAAAGACTAATATATGTAGCTCTACCATGTAGAGAGTTGCCAACGTCTCAAAAGACAGCCACTGAGGGTAGGATTCAAACCTCTGCCCTTTGATAAAATACGGGATTTCAGACAGTCCTGGGGCACGTTACCCACTCTTTGCCTTTGTTGCAAGCACAAACTAGGAAAAGATGGCAAAGCAGCTGGTATGCTATTTTCTGCAGCAACATTATATAGAAATGAACAGAAATACATTCCTAACAGGTTGCATCAATCACCTGTTGCCACATTATCAAATTAAGAAAAGATGTGTAAAATGTAGTCACACATAATGCTGCAATGTAGAGTTCATGAACACAATTTGAAACAGCCCATTCTCCAGCAGCTTTCTCTGCTGCTAAGCAGAGAAATAAGAATGTTCATCCTTCAGTGTAAGCCAGATATATATTCTGGGTCTATTGCTAGCAAACCACAGAAAGTATTTTAGGGGCCCCACAAGACATTATTGTACATTCATCACGATTTGTGCTCATCATACTATCAGGGTTGTTATATATGCAATCACACTTTCAATACCATTTGCAGCTGCAAAAGTTTAAGGGCAGTTATACTGCTTTGGTTGCAGTCAGTGTGAATCCTATAGCTTTCCTGCTAAAATCCCATATTTTTTTATACTACAAATGTTCCTACACACACACGCACACACACACTTTCAATTTGCTATAGTACAAAATCACATGGACTGTGCTACTTTGGTTTTGAGTTAAACACAAAACAAAAACCTGCAAATTAAAAACTAGCACAAGGAGGAGTGGATTAAGCTAGAAGCACCCTGTGATGTGACCCTCTTCTGCTAGCAGGGAGTTTAATATTTCCAACCCCCACCCCATTCTCCTACACATGTAGGCCAGTCCAAGTCTATCCCAGCCAAAAATTCACTGTGAGATGACAAGCCACTATCTCCCAGCTTCAAAAGAAACATCATCTGACCTACTTTACAAGGTTGTAAGGATTACTTAAGATAATGCATATAAAGTGCTTTGAACATTCTATACAAGTGCTATGTGCCCATCCCCCTTGTAGGAAAAGAGATTGCGTACTAGCCCAATGTGGTTGCAGGAGAGGTTGATGTGAGTCAGAGCCGTGTTCTGAGCAAGGACCTGAGAGAAAAGGGTGGCCGTTGGCTCTGACAACTCATTGCCACCCAAGTGAAGATTTGTCAGAGTCTCGTTAGTCAAGAGGGCGTGGCAAATGGCTTGGCCTCCCTCATCCTCAATGCAGTTGAGACGCAGATTGAGGGACGTCAGAATGGAATTCTTGGACAAGGCGTGAGCAATCGCCTGGGCTCCTTGAGCACGGATCCTGTTATCACAAAGGTTAAGGGTTACTATCTTGCTGTGGTTGATCAGTTTGCCAACAGCTCGTGCTCCCCGGTCTGCTATCAGATTGTGAGATAAGTTTAGTTCTGTTAGCGAGGGGTGGTCTAATAGTTCATGGATCAGCACACGAGATTTTTCGTCATCCACTTTGCTTCGGGACAGTTTGAAGACCTGCAGCAGAAGAATAAGGTTACATGTTTTGATAAAGAAAAATATTTCAGACAATTTTTATTTTATTTGTGCCTTGAACCACTCAGTTTTCACTGAAAGGCAAGGGATTTGGACAGTTCATCGCCTTAGCTGTTTTTTGAAAAAGTTCACATATCAGAAGCAATAAGCATAACCTGTATTTCTGGTAAAAGGCTTTTAAACTGCTCTAACAATCTGGAACCACAAGGAGTTGTCTGAAAGGCTCCGTAGTTCAGACAGTAAGTCTGTGGTTAATTTTGCCTAATCTTCTCAGAAATATTGGAATTTAGAATCAAAGATTTCTCCATTGCCCCTAAGCAGGCTCAAGCCTTTATGTGATCTAAGCTGGAAGGTAGAGGGGTGGTTCAGTCATCAAGAGTGAGATACAACACAAGTCTTTCAAGTGTTATAAGCCAATGGATAGCTTTTGTACACTACTGAGGGTGGCTTGAGGGTGCAGAGTTGAAAGGTCTCTCTTCTTATTTTTTTAGAGGAACTGTAGGTCTCTAGCAACCAGTAGAGGCTATTGCTTACCTTGCTTCCTCATTTAACCCTCTTATGCAGATGTCTACATTATAAATATATTGGGGAGGAGCAGTTTGAAAAAGAACCTTAAAGCTGTTGTTTTAATGCAAGCCACATTAGGGCCAAACTCAACAAGATGTGGGAGACCCACAATTCAATCTCTCTTCATTTGTTTTTTTTCTCTTAAAGAGTTGCTGAAGAGGGCCACCCATGTTGGATTAGGCCTGTACTGCAGGAGGAGGAAGACCTAACTCTTTTCCCCAAGTGATTTTCCTGATCTAGACTGCCACTTGAGGGAGAGATTTTGATCAGAGCAAGATGCTGAAATATGGGGTTAAATGCCCCTCTCCTGGCACTGTAGCTCCAGTCTGGAGGCTCTGTGGCTGCTTTTAAGTAAAATGGAAATGTCAAGAGATTAAATAGGGGATCTCCCAAACCTTGCCTTATTTGGCCTTTTTTTTTGGGGGGGGGGGTTTCAATTTAAATCCATGGGACTTGAAGTTGAGATTTAAGAGCTTATTTACCAAGGCTTCATCTCACTGCTTTAATGTTTAAAGCTCTAGTACCATGTCATACCGTCCAACTTTTTAATTTCAAAAAACAGTTTACACGTCTTCCGGGCCACGCTCCGGGGCAAGTCGTATGACCCACACCACAATTCCACCCCCCAAGAGCGCTGCCGCCCAAATGGCCACCGTGATGTTGTACAAAAAAAGGGATGCCCCTTTTTTCCAGGACACTTGACAGGTGTGCCATGTAAGCAGGGTCAATCACATAGGTCCTTTGCACATCAACCTTGCACAGCTGGGATCAGGTGGGAAGAATCCATGTAGTTGACCCCATCTACACCAGCTGAAGCTAAGGAAGAGTGGCTCTCATCACTCAGTTGTAATGGCATCTAACTTCAATATAAGAGTGTTTGAGACTAGTATACAAGTATGGTGCAAAGAGGGCTCTCTGCGGCCATGGAAGTACAGTGAGCCTGCACCTTATGTACATTTGTGTGCATTCAGCTTTCCGTGCTTAGCAAAAAAAAAAAAAGGTTTAAAAAAATTAAAAATGAGTGGAAAGAGGGCAGGCATCTGGGGGGAAAAGACTTTGGCAATCCCACCCGCCATTGAACCTAATGTGCTTTGACTAAATGCAATTTTGGCTTTAGGCACGATCCCCGGAATGTAACCTAAGTTGTGGGCCTACTGTACTGATGTCAGGTAATGATTTGGACAAAATTATTCACTAAAGGTTTAAAATTGTCCTCTGACCCTTGGGAACCATCATTCTAGGTTCAGGGTTTCTAAATATTATAGAACTGTATATGGCAAGTTACTTTTAAAGTTGGACACTTCTTGACAGCATTGGCCAGGGAGCAGCAGTCCCGGTAGGTGAACTCAAAAAGATTCCACTCAAAATTCATGCCACAGTCTTTAACACCATAAGATAAGTGCAGCTCCTCTAGGTGACAGAGCGCTGGAGTGAGCATACTCATATCAAAATGGTCCATGGAAGGTTCATCCATTCCAGAATCACTTTCTGTATCAGAGGCTTCTTCGTCTTCCTTCTTCTGATCTATTTTCACAGGTGGAAGGAACTGGTCGATATCTAGCTTCTTCACATATTCCTTGCAGAGTGGGATGACATCCAGGACCTGGTTGGGGTTAGTGGTGTCTGGAATGTAGAACTTCAAGATGTTCTCCAAGTGACGTTCAAAAAACATCCGCTTCCAGCTGTTTCCATAGCGGGACACGTCACAAACTGCCCATCTCGCAATGCAACATCGTTTCCAATAACCTTCATCACTAATCAGGTTGGCAGTCACAGTAAGGGGCAGACTTGTGGAGACCTTGTCCAGCACCTTCCTTTGGTGATCAGGAAGGAGGCTATTCAAAATAGGATTACCTGGTTGGAAAGAAGAGAAGTGAACCTTTCGGAATGTGGTGTCTGTTTGCTGCTTTTTATAGCACCATGAAGATCTATTTGCTAGGTATAGATAGATTATTTATTTGTTTGTTTGATTTTTAAATTATCCTCCCCAAAGCAAGTTACAGTAACCAATAAAACAGAATACGCATCTCAATTATTACAAAAGAATAAGAAAAAACAGCAACACTAAAAAACTCAAATAACAGCAGTAAATAAAACATGCAGATAACATTTTAGCATTAGAATAGCACCAGCAGATTAAACAATTATTCAGACATAGCATCATATGTTGAAAGCAACACACATTTGAGTTTGTACAAGTTTAGCAGCGCTTCCACTAAATAATCTTGAGAGGAGTAATTTGCTGAGGATGCTAAGAATTCCATTAGGAAGACCAAGCCCTACTCCCAGAACAATAGTTTCCAGGATTCCCTAGGAACAAATGAAAGTTTTGCGTTATACTGTAGACTACAATGCTTCAAAACAAGGCAAAAATAAAGGTATTGACTGGTTATCAAGCAGCAGCAGCAGCAGGAATGACTTGGTCTAGAGCAGCAGCAGCCAAAGTGGTACCCTCCAAAGTTGTTAGGACTACAGTTCCCATGAACTACATGGTCAGGAAGGAAGGGAGTTGTGGTGGAGGGCAGCACATTAGCTACCCTTGGTCTATGGAATAATTCCCTTGCATTTTTAAAGAGCCATTCCACTTAGTTTCATTTTTAAAAACTCAGTCCTCGATTGCATGTATAATTGCAACCTGTGATCTAAAGGTTCATTCTCAGCAAGAGAAACCAGAGGAGGAGAAATTACTTACTTTCAAAGTTGTTGATTATGTGCTGTATGCAGAGCTCTGTGAGCTGTGGCACTATAGCTAGACTCCACTCAGGATCCTCAGCTATAATCCGCCGCATTCGCCGAGGGTTAGCTGCTGGGTTTCTGGTACGGCTTGGGGGAGGGACTGCATTGGGGTCTGCAGCAACTGGCTCCTGCATCTTGAAGTGCTGGGGTAAAACCTCTCCCCCTCTCTCTCTTCTCTCTCTCTCTCTCTTAGAATGGTTTGAAAGTTCTGCGCAAACTGGAACCCTAAAGTTCAGCAGCCATTCTTCCTAGAAAAATCCAGAAATCAGTACCACTCACTGATACTAATAAAATATTTGATTTGGTGCATTATACTACAAGTGTAGGGAGGAAGAAGTCCCTTACAACTGCATTATTTAAATCTTTGATGTAGTCCAATCAATTATTAGCTCCACCAGTGCACATAACAAAACAAGGAAGGTAGACAGACTGTTTCACTGGACCAAGTTCTGAGAATATAAGAACATTTAATAACTGGAAGTTGTTTACATCAGAAGTTTGTTTCACCTTTTCCTGAGCTATTAAATGTCTCCTAAGATGAAGCAATTATATGAAGTGAGTCATACGCAAATTGGATTTATAAGCACACTGAAGTGGTGGTTTCACATCAAAATGCAGCAGGGTGTCAGTGCAGGGGGCTCACATGATGTAAAAATATATTTATACATTAAAAAAAACCAACCAAGCACAGAAGAGAATCTGGCAGTCTCATTCTCCTTTCTCTGAACTAGTCTAATTTCACACGCCAATCGCACCTGCAGTACCCATATTTCTTAAGGATCATGCAGACAACATATTTGCAGTTCATCCATTCCACATCCTAGGAGTTGAAGTGCCAAAACAGAGGCACAACACAATAGCAAAGTATAGTCTGCACATTTTGACTGGAGGGGATAGCTCTGAAGCAAGGGGATAACTGTAACTTGCTCCCCCAACTCTCTTTTAAAAAATAAGACTAGAAATGCATGCCATCACAGAAGAGAGCTCAGGGCCTCCAAAGAACTAGATCAGTGGTGGGGAACCTGTGGCCATCCAGATGTTGTTGGATTACAACTTGCCCCCGATCATTAGCTGTGCTAGCTGAGGCAGGCGGGAATTTTAGTCCAGAAACATCTGGAAGTCCAAATGTTCCCCCCTGCTGAGCTAAATAAGCTTACAATTATATTTTAACATGGAAACCATTATAGAAGTGGGCAATCCTGCAGGTCCTTACTGAGATTTTTCATTAAAATGCTAGGTGAATACTGTGGCATAATGGGGGAATGCTCAGCCTCTTAATCTCTTCAAGGTTTAAAAATTGAGCGTTTTCTCATTTTACCAAAGTGCTCATCTAGGCTTTTAAAGAAAACATGTTTAAAAAAGGCTGGAACTAAAAAAACCCCATACAATAAGCAGTAACAGTGCATCTCCACCCAGGAGTAAATCCCATTAAGCTCAATGAGGCTTGCTTTAGACGGCACAGCAGTTGGATACAGTGTGTGAATTGAGAGTGGAAAACGTTCGCGTGCACAAGACGTCCTCGTAACCTTCTACAAAGACACCTGCAGTTGTGCAGAAACTAGTGCCCCAATCCGGCACACTTCTGCTGAAAAGTGCTTTGATCTTATACACTACCTTCCCGTTACAAAGAGAGAAGCCAGTGCCACGGCAGAGATCAAGCTCATTATTTCCTTCCTGTTCATGAAGCTGCTCCATTTTGCTTTCAAGCACACATAAGAAGTAGCCTTTGGTGTGCGAAAGCCCTGGTGCCTTTGAAACCTTTGCAATGGGCAATTTTTCAACCCCCAAACTGTCTGGGGTAGTGCTGATAAAAACAACCTGCTAAATCACAAGAGCAGACCTCTACAAACCCTTTGAAGAATGCAAGGGGGCAAAGCCAAGTTATTCCTGTTGTGTTACTGATAATGTGTCTGCAAAGGCTTCTCAGATGGTAGCAGCAAGCAGCAGGTGCCAGAGCAAAGCAAAGAACACTGAAATGAAGGGCAGGGAGAGGCCAGGTCAAATGGATACTTAGGTGTCTACAGAAATTGTGAGACAATGCTGCCTGAGGGCCAAATGACATGGAATAATATCCACTGGAGACCAGCTAATCCTAGTGGGGGTGGAAAATCAGCTATTGTGGAGCAATCACTGTACACTTGCAGGCAACTAAGATTCTTAACCCCAAAAGCCACACAGAAAACCAGGAGAATGCAACAGCCCTCATAACTGTGGTTTCTGCTCTCTGTGATTCTCCCTTCCTGGTTGAAGCCAGCCCAGCGCTGCTCCTCAGTCAGAGATCCGTAGGGCTTCTGCAGATCTGACTGCTGTGACCAGAACCATCTTGTCACTCCAATCTTCATCAATCCCAGAATATGGAAGGGAGAAAACAGTTGGCAAATGCAAGAACAGCCCCCTGGGGTCATGAAGCACGAAAACTCAAAAGCTTTCAGCACTTCCCAAATAGTCCAAATATTACTGGACAATAGTAAAAGAACCACTGTGCAACTATAGCTTCTTCCAAGAGGCAGGCATGGAAATGAGTTTATTTCTGTAAAGCACCATGAACAGGATAACAGCACAAACGATTAATAATTAGCAGGATTCTAAAAATTTTATTGGGAACAACTGTGAATTTAATTGTCAAAATATGCACATTCAAAATTGTATTTAAAAAATAAAACATCTCATGATTAAATTTTCCATAAAGCAAGACAGCAGCTGTAGGTGAATTGCAACTAAATCTCTACTGACTTTTAAAAAAGGAGCCTGCAAGTGCAGAACAGTTCATTAAAACCTCTAATGCCAGTTGTAGCTCATAAAGCCTATGGCTTGAATCCAAAGAGCCACTTTATGCAGGAAAAGCATTTCCACACATGGTCAGGGAAGTATCATTTCTATTTCCGACTGTTCTGAGGAGTACTTCTGAAATTCCCCCGAGTTTTAGGAACAGCTTAAGGGCAGCATGGAGGGTTGCTTTTAAAAAGAGAGGCTCCATCCAAAAGAAGTTCTGCTCTGTAGGCAGTTTACCACACATCCCTTTAGTTCACATGTCCTGAAACTCTTCTAAACTCTGCAATTTTGTGATTATCTGCTGTGAAGTGTGATGCTTTGTTGCAAAATTCCCACAGAGTCTTATTGCTGGTGACCAAATGGCAAGCTTTAGGATCCAGCAATCATTGTCAGATGTGATGGCGTCCAGATTTCTTCCCTTTTGTACACACAATTCCACTATTCTAGGGCTATCCAAAAACCACCAGTACCCTTGGTTTAGCCAAAATAAAGCCTGGGTTTAAGATTATTTACAATTCAAATCTCAATTAGAAGTGTGACACCACACCATGTTCTTACAATCCACATGATAGGCATGGCACATACACTTGTCCTAACCTACCGACAGTGGCACCACATCTCCTTATGGGAAAAGGGAGCCGTTCAATTTCCTCCTCATACAAATCAAATGGCATCAATTTAGCATCCAACTGTTTAGCATCAACCTGTGCTAGAAAACTGATTTGGTTGCAACAATTTCCAGTAGGGGAGCCATGTTAACCTGTCTTGTGGCACCTTAAAGACCCACAGATTTATTACGGCATGAGCTTTTGTGGACTACACTGAGTTGTGATTCTGCAGTTTCAACTGAGGCCTGCCTTTGAAAGGGCTGGGAGACTGAAATGTGAAACCACCAAATTACCACTAATCACATGTGGATTGAATACACTGCAAACTGAAAAAGGCAAGTGTCCATAGCTTTGGCAGAAAGCAGGGCTCTTCCCATCCTACATACAGTAGTGCAAGCTCATTTGGTAGTCAGGATTAATAATGTTTTATACCTTGGGGGCTTGTTTTTATTTAGGTGGGTTTTTTTGGAAAATTTTAATTGAATAATGCTGTTTGCAATTTCATTGTTTTATGTAAACCACTTAGAGATGTTTACTTTATTAAGTAGTATATCTGGTTTTATAGACACATAAATAAAATAGACTGCTTATAGTTCTAGTAAATAAATAAAACTTTTCTGACTCTACCTATTGCCAGTAATTTCTCCACTAGAAGCTGTTTTCTATTGTACACATGAGCTGTGTATGCTGTATTATGAAGGGATTGCAATGTTCTAGGAAAATGAGGCAGAAACCTCAACACTGTGTTCAAACTTACTTTTTGCTTTTACAAAGCATGTGTGTTTTACTCACTCCACATTCAGTGTCATTACAAATATAGCAGAGCACGGTTGCTATGGTGTGATGAAGATTCCACAAGGTGTCTGAATTAACTCTGTGATCAAATGCCTGGGGAGTTGTAAGGTGCTAGGTCTTGCAGTGAGTCATTTATCACACTGAATCAATTTACAGGATCTCCTGATACAGCAATCACATATCACCATGGCTGTTCTATACTTCATTTTCTTATTTTGTAAGTACAAACATAATTTCCCCTGTACTGCTTTGGGTTCACATTCATATATTCATGGATGATTAGATAACTTTCTACCAAGTTACCACATGTATGTGACCACTTAGTAAACAGATTATATTGCCCTGCCAAAGTACAGGTAGTTTATGCCCCCTTCTCCAGTTTTTTCAGCTTTCCACTTCCAGTATGGAAATGTATAAAGTTCTCATTTTTTCACAGGACAATATAGATTACTAGCATACCAAGTGGTTATACGCTCACTGTGATATGCTATTATTTGATAAATAGCCTTTCTTATTCACTCATCATCTCAGATTCAATGAACATTGGCTGAAAACGTAACTGCTCCCATAAACGGCACACTGGCATATAATATATGTAGTCTCCTTTCTTTACATTTTGCATTAAACAGCATGTTAAGATGCAGTTAATTAGAAGATAGCATATAAATGTATATGTAACTTTCCACCCACGTTGTGCCTAAATCAAGTGCATTAGAAAAGTACTGCTAAAAGAGAAGAAACAAAATGCCAAAATGTAGTCAATTTCTAATCTACACAATTTGCACAAGGATGTATAAGCCATAGATTTAATCACAGAAGAAAAAACATCACTGACTTTCTTCCATGTCCTTAAGTACTTCATTCAATTTCTTTATTTTAAGCTGCTTTTTAATAGTCAAGCCCTTTCAATTCAACTTTCTTTTAATTTAAGAAATAAAACCTGCTTACTGGGAAAGATTTTCTGCTTTTAGATGCAACACAAAGTCCACTGAAATGAACATTATATAAACCCTACCTTCTAATAGTGCAGTACTGAGTAGCTGCAACACCCACTCAACAATTGCAGGGGGTTGGGCTAGATGACCCTCGTGGTCGCTTCCAACTCTACAATTCTACGGTTCTACACAAGCCATGCTCCAATTACAGGAGAAGGTGCTCTATTTTTCATGATGTTTTTAGAAGCCTGGGAGGGGCTTATCTTGTCTAAATTGGGGGGTAGTCCATGGGAGGTGTCTTGTCATTAAAAGCTCCCCATCTCTCTTTCCCCACCCATAATTCAAGCACTAAATACAAATATTGTGAAAGAGAGAGGGATTAAAATCCACTAATCAATAGCTTTGCACCATTTGCTATTCTCCAAAAGCTCTCAGTATTTCTTCACATGTACACAGTCACTTTAGCCATATTTTAAATGTTTACTGAAAAGGCTCCCCCCACCCCTTTTGCATTCCCAATATGAATTCTAGTTTGCAGTCCTTAGAAACAACAGATCACTTGGAAATACTTTTAGTTACCCCTAAACCACCCCAAACTTCAAGGATGGCAAAAGGGTGAGCTTTCTCCTGGTCTCTCAGTGTGTGCCTGTGGAATGGATAAAGTGAGTGTTCCAAATTCACCGTAACTGTACAAAAAGGGAACCACCAGCCTTTGGCACCTAACCCAGAGTACCGTAATTAGAAGGCCAAGATCTCACATTTATGACAGCAGAACTGCCTGCCTCTTACTTTAAAGGAACCCTGTTCTTTCCTCAGTATTATAGCCTGTGAAAATACACACACACAGAGAGAGAGAATCATAGAATTATATAGTTGGAATATATATCAAAAGAGAGGTGGCAGCAGGAGTGCTGGGAAAAGGGCTTAGGGGTTGCCTTCATCCTCGTTCTTCCAATTGCTTTGTGGGGTCCCCTACCTGCTGAGCTAGTGTGGCGTAGCCTGACTAGGACCTACGAGACCAGAGTTCAAATCCCCACTTAGGCAAGAAGCTCACTGGGTGACCTTGGGCCAGTCACTGCCTCTCAGCCTATAAGCTACCTCGCAGAGCTGTTGTGGGGATTCAGTGAGGAGGGGGAGTCATAGCAGCTTAGAATTGTAGAGCTGGAAGGGGGGACCCCAAGGGTCATTTAGCCATGCAGGGAGAAACATGCACACCACCTTGAGCTCCTTGGAGGGAAAAGGTGGTGCACAGATGCGATAAATCAATAAACAAACCAATAAATCTTCGACCTGTTGTTCCCCTTTCACGGATGGCCCCTCTGCACCCCGAGTGCTACCTTCACATTTTGCTAACCCGGAAATCTCGAGGGTCCCTCTTCTCCCCTTTCCCGACTGGTCCCAGCACACGCCCGTCTCTCGGGCCGCGCTATCCCACTTGCCTGCTTAGTCCTCGGGGGTGGGGGTGGGGCGGTTGCTAGGGAAACGAAGCGTTGCCAAGGGCCGGCGCTAGAGATGCAAGCTCAGCCCCGCCCCGCCAGGGGCTTTTAGCGCAGCCTCCAATCAGCATGCGGGAGCCGCCCATTCCCGCTTCAGAGGGGTGGGCGCGAAGAAACGCCCAGGGGCGGGGCTTAGGACTGCGTTGTCCCCTTTGCGTTTGAAACAAAAATCGTCCGGGCGACGTCCGTCCCTCCCCGCCCAAATAATGGGTACCTCCCGCCTTCAGAACTGGAGGCTGCGCTAAGGGGGGTGAGAGGCGCTGGTAAAAACAGTGCGCGCGGTTTTCGTGTGAAGAAGAAGAAGACGGGGCTCCTGCACCTTTAATAGCTGTGCCACTTGCAAGGTGCAGGAGCCCTTGGTCTCGCGTCTACCTGGCCACCTTTTGAGAACCACCCATTCTTCGCCCAGGTGGCATGGGCGTAGCCAGGGGCATGCAGGAGGAGCAGCTGCCCCCCACCAAGTAAATAAATAAAAATACTTAACTAACTAATTGCATCACAGATAACTCGGTTCTGCCCTCCTCCCCCCACCCCAACACGAAGCCTGCCACCCTAAAAAATAATTCCTGCCTACGCCCATGCCAGGTGATTGTCGGTTTTAGATTAAAACATAACCATGTGCCTGACAGGCGTCCATTCATTGCGGATCACTATGACAAACCTAGACAGCATCTTAAAATGCAGAGACATCACCTTGCCAACAAAGGTCTGTATAGTTAAAACTATGGTTTTCCCAGTAGTGATGTATGGAAGTGAGAGCTGGACCATAAAGAAGGCTGATCACCAAAGAATTGATGCTTTTGAATTATGGTGCTGGAGGAGACTCTTGAGAGTCCCATGGACTGCAAGAAGATCAAACCTCTCCATTCTTAAGGAAATCAGCCCTGAGTGCTCACTGGAAGGACAGATCCTGAAGCTGAGGCTCCAATACTTTGGCTACCTCATGAGAAGAGAAGACTCCCTGGAAAAGACCCTGATGTTGGGAAAGATTGAGGGCACAAGGAGAAGGGGACGACAGAGGACGAGATGGTTGGACAGTGTTCTCGAAGCTACCAGCATGAGTTTGACCAAGCTGCGGGAGGCAGTGGAAGACAGGAGTGCCTGGCGTGCTCTGGTCCATGGGGTCACGAAGAGTCGGACACAACTAAACAACAACAAATAGGAGCACTCCAGCGTTTTTGTGGGAGCAAACGCTAACGCAGTGGGGCAGGCTTTGCAGTAAACTTGCATAGGGTTGGCCTGGAGGAGGGTGCGCCGCCGTAAAAGGTGCTTTCGTCATCCTGGCGGCGGGCTCTGGCATGCCTTTGCCACAGTAAGTATGGGATGGGTGCCACCTTCCGAACAGGGGTACAACAGTACCACAGGGAGCTTTGCTGTGCACCCAGTCTGGAGAATACAGCTCTATGTGGTAGGAAACAGTCCTGGTGATGAACCAGGCTCATCTACAACGGACATGCTGTGGTGATCATTGTAGGAAGCCCATTGCAAATGAGAGGGAAGACATCGCGCAGAATTGTGAGCCCCATTCCCCTGGAGCGCTGGGAAGTCTCATGGCCAGGCAATCCTCTACTGGGCCGGTTATGAAGAGAATATACCGGAGGGTTCTGCAGTCCCTATGATGCAAATATGCGCGGGGAGTAGCGAGAACGCACTTGGCCAGCGCTGATCTGGAAAGTAGCTTTCCCTTCTCCCCGGAAAGCCCATTCATTAGCAGCCAATGAAAAGCTGCTTTTACCAGCCCGCTGCAAAACTTAGACTTATTTATTTAAGTTCATCTGGAGATCTCAGGGCGGGTTCACTAACTTGTTTCTCTTCTGACACTGGCTACATCCAGAATTGCCAAAGTCCCTCTTCCCCCCCCCCCCCCGCAAAGGTGGCATATATAACCCAGTAGCCCAGCTATTATCATGCTTGTTAAGTAAACATTTGCCTGTTAAGCAAACTACACATTCCTGACTAGAAAGCCATTTAGCATATCCAAAAAGGCACTTGTCACATGGCAAGTGAAATTACAGGGAAACAAGAAGAAAGCCTTTTTGGTAGTGGTACCCACCTTATGGAACACCCTCCTGTCAGATGTCAAAGAGAAACAATTATATGACTTATTCGGAAGCTTTCAATGTCTGATGTTTTGTTCTGTTGGAAGCTGCCCAGAGTGGCTGGGGCAACCCAGTCAGACGAACGGACTCAAAGAAATAGATATATTAATAAATTAACAAATTATTAATAATAATATTTTCTCTCTCAAATAATCTTAATTTATACCAGTCAAATAACCAGGATACTGAAAACAGCAAGATACCCAGCAACATAGCAGTGGACTGTAGTGACCGAGCCTGACTATCTACAAAAATCATGCTACCTAAAGGCAATTTTGCCAAAATGAGCAGCTAGGCGCTTTTAATTACTTGGTTGTATAGTGAAAAAGAACTTCTAAGCAAGAGAGACGCAAATGCCACAAGACATTCCTGAGCAAAAGAGAGCAATTGGAAGGTACGCAGGGTCATATTTCTGGCCTAATCCCTTTGACAAGCTCTCCTTTAAGCAAAAAGGCAGCATAAGTAACAGTCAGAAATGCAGCTCGAATAAGGAGACAGAACAACCTGATGTAATGTCATCTTGGGGAAACATCTGCATCATTTTGCCTGCATTCGTGTCCTCCATATGGCCTTCCCACAGGCATGTACTGTAGTTGGGTGACTATGCAAACAGGATGCTGGACTAGATGGGCCTTTGGTCTGATCCAGCAGGGTTCTCTCTAAGTTCTTATCTATTGCTGCTGCTTCTGTGCTAAAGACAACAAGAAAGGGCCATGAAATAGTTAATATCTCATAGGGTTGGTGCAATGGCCTAGGGCTATGGAGGCTGCATCACAATGTAGTCAGTGCAGGACTACATATAGGCCAATGTTCTGACACAGTACAAGGCAGCTTCGTACATAACTTAAAGCTACTATGTGTGCTCTAGCATGGTGTTAAAAGCAAAAATTGATGTCGCTTTTCTTCCCAGGGTTTCTTCCCTGCCAGCATATGGGGGGAGCCTGGCCAGCTGATGCAGCCCTTGGTGGGTGGAGAGGAGCAGTGGGCCAAGCCACCCCTGGCTTTACTTCCTTTCGGAGTCTTGCTTTGGAGCAATAAATAAATAAATATTGCAGGGAAGGAAGACTAGGGGCGCAGTGTTAAAACACTTCCGAGGAAGCAAGCCCCACTGAACGCAATAGATTTATTTCTGCATAAATAATAAAGGCAACTTTATGCTGCAGATAGAACAATAGAACAAAATCACAGTGGTACCTCGGGTTACAAACACCTCGGGTTACAAACACTTTGGGTTACAAACTCTGCTAACCCGGAAGTAGTACCTCGGGTTGAGAACTTTGCCCCAGGATGAGAACGGAAATCACGCGGCGGCAGCGGGAGGCCCCATTAGCAAAAGTGCGCCTCAGGTTAAGAACGGTTTCGGGTTAAGAATGGATCTCTGGAACGAATTAAGTCCGTAACCCGAGATACCACTGTATTATAATAAGTGAGTCTGAATCAAATCTAAACCCTTGTTGTTGGGCTCCTCTTGGTCAGAAACATAAGGATCAGTGATCTTGTAGACATATTTTTGAAACGGTCCCTTTCCACTAGCTCGGTTCTCTATTGACAAGAGTGGGACTGATGGGAAGGTGAGATTTGGTGCCAGGAAGCTCTCATACATGGAGCAGCTCTTGTAGGAGAAGGATGGGAAGGATACAGCTATTCATGCTTCCTGGATCATGCCATTTGTGTTTACTTCTGAAATACCTTTTTTTTTTAAAATAGCAGAGCAGGTGTGAAATATTTTGCCATTAACACTCCTGTTGTAGCCATGTTTACTTGGAAGTAACATAGCCTCCGTGACTCCAATGAACTTGCTTGCTAGCTTAATGAGGCTATTTATATCCTACCCTCCTGTTTCAACAACATGGCTCAGGATGGCTCATTGCATATTAGGAAAAAAAACATCAAGTACATCATATTAATGCAACTTGAAGGCTGCAACCATTTACCTAGAAGTAAGCCTTGTCAAACTCAATGGGACTTGCTTTTAAATTGACATGCACAGGATTGTGCTGTAAAAACAGACAGCCAAAGGCAGGGGTCGGCAAGGTTTATCTTGCCTGGGCCGGATCGGTCCTGCGGAGATAACTCCGTGGGCGTGAGTGTGCCCGCCAGCGATTTTCATCGTCTGTGCGTGCACACCCGTGATTTTCGGCATCTGTGCGTGATTTCTGGCGCCGTGGAAGCGAGTCCCTGCGCCGCGTTGTGCCAGTTTAGCGCAGTGCTCGAGCAGGTGGCTCAGTTCGGGGGTGGCTCATGGGCTGGTCAAATGAACTCCATGAGCCGTTTCCGACCCATGGGCCTTAGGTAGCTGACTCCTGGACAAGGGGCTCCTCAGTAACTCTTCTCAACCCGGCAGGCCAAATGCCTGCTGAAAAAGCAAAGCAAACAGTGGAAAACTCCAGGAGACCTGGTCAAATAATCTGAGAGACGGAACTCCATAACATCAGTGGGGCCACTGAGAAGATCCTCTTCTGCATCCCAGTTGGTCTTACCTCTGCCCACTGGTTGGTAGGACAAGAAGAGCCTCTTGTAAGATCTTAACAAGAGGACAGGCCCACATATGGGAGGAGACAGTCCTTTACTTTCTTCCATGTAAACCTTCCATGTAAACCTCAGAGAGTTGGAAGGGACTTTAAAGCTCATCTAGTTCAGCACCCTGCCAATGTAGGAAACTCACCACTACAGCATCCCTGATAGGTTTTTAGACCATAGCTGTCAAGCGTCCCTTATTTGGCGGGACAGTCCCTTATCCCAGCGCCATGTCCCGCAGCTGTCCCTTATTGATGATGTCCCTTAAATAAGCTACTGAAGGTAATGGGGCCCTTTCTATGTCTAGCTGTCCTTTGTCAACAACAAATTGTTGCTGTTTTTTTGTGTTGAATATATGCTATATGGTAATTTATGGACCTAATAGGTGTTAAATAGTGGGTAGACATGGCAGACGACACAGCGATTTCTCCAAAGC